AAGTCATTACTGTTAGAATTGTCTTACTTTTAAAGGCATATTAGGACATTTTGCCTCATGTGAGAAAGTCAAATGTCCTCTGCTGAATGGGTTTCTTTGTTGGAAACCTGGCGGAGCCTGTGGCTGGTAGATGGAAGAATTCTTTCTATACTAGCTGGTAAACAGATGCCATAGCTAGAGTGATTTTCTCTTTTCCTTGGACATTGGATAGTTATCAGTTGCTACCACAGCTGGCAGGGAAAAGTCTATCTCATTTTTGTAAATGGGACCAGTCAAGGCCATTACAACAGATAAGTGATTTCCTGACATCAGCAGTCCGTTCGGATCCATCTGAAAACCATGCTACAGTTTAGGAAACACATTACAATGATTTTATGTGTTTATTTAGGAAACAACCACAATTTATGGCATAATTTCCATGATGTTATGTTCACTTTCCCAAACAAGCAAACTACGCTTGTGTTGGATCACAATACATATGAGTTGGCTATTTGATTTATGAGACAGACTTTTCTTCTAAAGTCATTATACTGGTAGATTTTAGTTTTCATCTTTTTCTAGATTCACATGTCCAAATGAAAGTACAAATATATGTGTATTAATCACTATAGGAATTAAATTTTTATAAATTACAAAGCATTTTAACAACAGTTGGCTAACTAATGTATCTCTATTATAATCTCTTAGAGAGTAGATCTGTTCTATCAACTTATTTACATAACAAGGTGTTTTTTTTCTCTATCTCCTAAACAATTTCTACAACAAGATCTGCTCCTAAAAGGAAAATCACTTTTCCTTGCATAGGTCAAGAAAAAACGATCCAGAAAAACTGATAACCCCATTTTTTTTTTGCAGCAGCAGCAGCACAATATAAAGAAATTTGAAACTATTCAAGACTTAATAAAACAGTATCTTTCATTATAAGTTCTACTTATTACAAGTGTATATTTTTGCTCACATGCAGTGCAACAACATTTTGTCTGATGAACATCCAGCTTTATTTTTAATCTGTCCAAACAATGAAATGGACCTTGGCTTGTAAAGTTGGTATTTATACTGTCAGGGATGTCCTTCAACATTTTCTTCCATGCTGAAAGAAAGGGGAGGTCGAACATCCTCAAAGAATCCCTTTAACTCCCTTTTAGATTGTGTCCAGCTTCTACTAAATCAGCATAAGGATGTGACTTTAAAACTCTTCTGCACTATCTGAAGAAACTTCATCTATGCCTTGAGAAATAACCCAGAAAAACTGCTGATGAACATTCAGCAAGGTTAGTATCAATCAGGCAAGGTACTGTTTATGCCTTTCTGAAAATGATTTTTTCTACATTGAGCAAAAGCATTTTTTCATAAGGAAATAGAAACTTCCTAGTAAGAATTCTGTATTTTAATAAGGTGGTTATATTTTTAATAAATCGACTCAATTTTAATTGCTAAGTTTTATATATATATATATAGTAACTTGTCTTTCATACTTATTTAAAGTACCATTTTGTATTCTTTCAGCACAGGAATATTGGGCAACCATTTTGTTATATTTAAGTAATAATTTCTTGTACTAATCAATTAGCTTTACAGAAATATTTAATAAATGTAACCTTGTACATTTTTCAAAGAAGGTGTTTTCACCTTGGGAGTTCCAATTTAGACATAGTTGTTTTTTCAGGAATTTTTCTTTTATACTTCTCTGGTTATTTAGAGAGCCCCTAAAAACTTTAAGGCAACTATTTACACTAGGTATAGTATTATTTTCCCATTTTTCTCCAGATTCTATTCCTAACTTAATCTAGTGAACCCAGTAATGTCACACCTAGGGTTTACAGTGCTAATCCCCCTAGGGCTGCCCTCCATGAGTGAGTGTTCAGAGCTAAGGGTTCAGTACTCTTTCAATGAAAGGAGTAAAGATTGAACCCTAATAGCAGAAGCAGGTGATGCATGCAGACTGTATCACCTAAGACATGTTCTGACGAGCTTATAAAATGAGCTCAGAAGAGTCCTACCCTATGCTCTATCAAAGGCAGTAAGGTCTGTCCAGGCAAGGCTTACAGAATGTGAGACAAGGAACGCTTCTCAGACAAAGCTTGGCTTCATCTGACCCCTAAAGCTGACTTGTGTGGCTCGGATTTCTTCCCCCTTTGATGCCTCAGTTTCTTCCTCAATGTTATTTACCTCACTGGATTGTTAAGAGGATGGAATAAGATCATTCATTTAAAGAATGAAGCCAGAAAACTGGGTATGAGATTCATCAAATATTTCTGCTGCTGCTGTTTGCTTCCCCTTGCAGTGAAATATTTCCTTCAATCCACCCTGGGAATAAAGAAGGTAGGTTCTGCTGTTTTGAAATAGGTGTTTGGGGTTGCATAACTGTGTTTTTATATTTACAGTCCAATACACATTTTACAAATGAAGTTCAGATTATTAATGCTTTTAATGTAAATGGAGAAAAGTCATGGAATGTAATAATCTGACCATTATCAATACATAAGTTTTAAAATAAAATCCCTACCAAATTTCTAATAAAATGAAGATCTTATTAGGTCAAGGAAATAGAGACAGAGTTCTTGATTGCTGTCTAACAAAACAGTTCCTTTTCCTGAATGGTCTATTCACTGGATAATTTGACAAGCAATTAAGGAAGGAGCAAAGAGCCATAAAATAAAACAGTTACCATACTGGGTGTGGTGGCCACAGCTTTAATCCCAGCACTCCAGAGGCAGAGGCAGGGGGATCTCTGTGAGATGGAGGTCAGCGTGGTCTACATAGCAAGTTCTAGGCCAGCTGGGGCTACAGGGAGATCTTGTCTCAAAAAACAATAAAAACAAAAAGACAAAATAGTGATCTATATGGTATAGTTGTATCTATTATAGGATTAAAAATTAACTTTGTCATTCAAGTATCTCCTGGAAAATAAAGCCACTTAAGTAAAAACTCAAGCAACAAAAACAAAACACAAACCATTGACACATTACTATATGAACTGTAAATTTCCTAAATTGTTTTCCTTCTAGTGTACATATTACTTTCAAAGCAGTGTTTTCATGTATTTATGAAATACAGAGAATGCATGCTGTGTCAGGCCCTGGGAGACAAAGGTAAATGCTATTTCCTTGTCTGGGGATGTGCACAGTATCAGAACACAGCAGCCACTGGCAAAAGTAATTACACAGTCTGAACCAGAGGTGTGCTCAGACAGTAGTTTTTTGTTTTTGTTGTTGCTGTTGTTTTTGTCTTTTTGACACAGGGTTTCCCTATACCACAGCTGGCCTGGAACTCACTGTGTAGTTCAAGCTGGCCCCAATCTCACAGAGATGTGCCTGTGCCTGCCTCCCAGAGGGCTGGGATTAAAGGCCTGCACCACCACACCTAACTAGGAAGGAGTTTTGTATCCCTTTAAACTCCTTATCCTTTCACAAACGTTTTAATGCATGAATGAATACTTGGGGACAAGGAAAATGCAGAAAAGCTTCTCAAGGAAAAAGATTAAAGTGGGTGAATTTGCTTTTGACAAGTGGCAAGGAACAGGGAGGTCCAGCATGCAAAGAACACAGCTTGTGGAAATGGAGACAGTTTGAGTACAAATATGGGATATGACCTGATGGCAGTGGTATGGGAAAACTGCAAAACAGGCCAGGACAAATGAGAAAAGACCAGTAAATACTAGTGTCAAATGATTCCAACTGTTGTTTGATGAGTGGCAGCAACTCCTCCTACACTGAACAGTCCTAGTAGAAGGGGAGTTACCTCTTATGTCATCCCTGTAACTGTGGCTGCACAAACAGTGCTTCCTGCTATTTAATTTTAACTCTGTCAAGATTAATGGCTAACATCTATGAGTTTCTCTATCTCAGATCATTCTTACTACTCAAGGAATGGAATCAAATGCATTGCGACTGGTAGGAACCGGTGTTAGGAATACAGGAAAAGTCTAGTTGTTTTATCCTACTTCCTGAACTCAAAGACCAAGTCGGTACCAGCCCATCTTCCTCTGCTGGGCTGGTAAGGCTTTTCTCAGCACACATGCCTCACCTTTACTAAAAGCCTCTTTGATGCTGTGTGCTGGGGAGGCAGCAGTGGAAACACTATTAAAAGTATTTTAAAAAGCCGGATGTGGTGGCGCATGCCTTTAATCCCAGTAATCGGGAGGCAGAGGCAGGCGGATCTCTGTGAGTTCAAGGCCAGCCTGGTCTACATCGTGAGTTCCAGGCCAGCTGGGGCTACAGGGAGACCGTCTCAAAAAAAAAAAAAAAAAACTTTTTATAAGTAGTGAAGAGTTTCTCTTGTACCCAAATCTTGTTAAAGAAGAAACATCAAAACAGGTTACAACCTATAATAGTCTGAATAAATAATTAGAATTATATTGTAACATCTTTGGAAATCATGGAGTAGGAATAAAAGTGGCTCTTTACAAATTTTGGATGGGGAAAGTGAAGCATTAGTTTGCTCTCTATTTTTAAGGATTGCAGCTAGACTTCAATAAACTTGCTTAAAGCTAAAAAAAAAAAACCAGATGATACAAATTCAAAAACTCCCCTCAGTAAATAGTAGTATATGGATTGTCCAATCAGCCTTGATTCTTTGGTTTTCATTAACAGGAGTGCAATCATACATTGGTGGGCACTTTAGTCTTTGAGCCAAAGTTTGAAAGTCATGCTCAAGGTGAGGTAAGTAGAGGGACATGTGAGTAGATTTAAGTTTGACAGAATTATCATTACACACGCCACAGAATGTGAAGCTGGGCAAAACCTTCAACACTGATCATCTGGGAGGACTGTGGTTTTGATCTAGAGGCAATTCAGCACGGTGGGAGGACGAAGAGGCTAGGGATTTTATTCATTAAAGGAACGCGGGTCACCGTAAGAAAAACTTAGTAATTGGTGCAAAATGTGAGGTCTGCGTGTGACTGAAGGAAGGGGGCAAAGGGGCTAGCTGAGCGGAGAGGAGTCTCGGGACCTGGGAGCGTCCCGATCGGCAGCGCAGGGGTGGCAGTGATGGGGAGACGCGGGCGGAGGGGGCCGGCGACTTCCGAGCCAGGGTGCGGGCGCGTCGGGCGCTCCGCAGAGCTCAGCATTCTCCAGGTGAAAAGCGTGCCGGGCGCCCGAGGCGAGGAGCCCCGGGCGGAGCCCAGGGCGAGCGGCCGCGGCTCCTCCCCCAGCGCCTCCGCTTTCGGGGTCAGATACCGCGCTGGACCTCGAGACCCGCGGGCTCCCGGGCTCCAGTCGGCTGGCCGCTTCCCACCCGTGCGCTCGCGGGTCCCGGTGCCCGGCTCCACCACAGAGGCCAGGGCTGCCAATGCAGGTGCGTACGGACCTGGGGAGGGGGCGACAGGACGGGCGACCCAACGGCCCGGGACTTGTGGAAGGCGGCCGCAGCACTTCCGGCGGCGTTGGCTGCACTTCCGGGTCACTGCGGGGCAGTGGGGCGTCCTCGCGCTGGAGACCCGGCTGGGTGCCGCGCGCGGCGGGTGACCCATGACCCCCGCGCCCCTCCTGGGGTCTGGGGAGGCGGCGCGCCCCGGGCCTGGGGGACCCCGAAGTTAGTCGGACACCCCTGACGTCCCCAGCATCTGCATTTACCCCAGCCTGGCGCAAACCCGGTGTGGTGTTTGCCTGTACCCCCCGCCAACTTTATCAGAAATGGAAGCCAGATTATTCTACCACTGCTGTTTGCAAATAAGCTAAAGACTTGGTGAAAGTAACGAAAACCTAATGAAATAGGAATATTCAGTTTGAAAGAAGTGGATTTTCTGCATGCTCTCCAGACTCTGATCCCGTTTTCAAGGGCTAACTTGAAACATTTTTCTAACATTTTTTTGCTAACTTGAAACTTCTGGCTTGTTTGTAACCCATAATGTTACTTAACTTTCCTTGCAAAAATTTTCGTCCTGTGGTTTAGCAGTTCAGGCATTTTATACACCCCCAGCCCAAGGATCAGGTGATGAATTGCTATCAATGCTCCTTAGGTGTTTGCTCTAAGCTCGCTAATTAATTTCGTAAAGTGTTTCTAGAGGTAAAAATTAAAACATGAAAATGAATTTTTCTTTTATGCACTAGTTTTATTTAGCGTCAGCATTTTATCATTTCACTAGAACTCTAATTTCACTAGGTGAGTCTCTGTAAATAGCCTTTGATTATGTGTCACATTCATTTTAGATAATTTATAGGAACATTGTCTATCATTTTCCCTTCTGATTAGAGAGTTACAAATGGAAATTAGTAACAATATTTTGTATCTGGTCATTAAAATGAGTTGTAAAGTCTGGTCAATAAATTTTTAATTGTTTTATACCTCAATATAAGAATACACTACTAATATATATGTGTAAGAACAATACAAATTACTTCATGCCACCTTTGAAATTATACTGAGGCAAACAAGAATGCCGCGTTTTTACTTTTGTTCTTCACTTCATCTGTGTAATTTTTTAAATATTGGCACAAAAACACATTGATTTCTTCTTTTGTACCTATTTTTAACCTTTTATTTTTTAAATTATTGCCATAGCACATTTTGTATTAGCATAAATTCTAACATAGCCTGAGCTATTAGTTTCTAGTTGTCATTTTTTAAACAAATAAATAGCTCTATTGATTCTAGTTCATCCCAGTGAATTCCTCTAGTTCTGATGTCATATCTCATCCCAGAACATCTCTGCTCAGTCATCGTTCTCCTTCATGTCCTTGCTTGATTTTTTTCGAAATATTCCAAATGTGGCTAGATAACCTCCAGAATTTAGGAACAGGATGGTGAGGGTAACCCTTCTTATTTCTGTAGTTAAATAACCACCTGGGTAAATGGCAGCAGTTTGTCTGAAAAAAGTAAAATGGAATTATTGTTTTGCTCAGCTTCAAAGAGATAATTTGGAACTGGTAGAGTTGCTAAAGAAAGGTTAAAGAATGTCTGCTTTTCATGTGTTCAAACCTGCTTCTGTCTTGAGGATAAGGTCTTTCTCCAAGGTAGATTTTCACTTTTGTGTATTTACTTTTTAAATGAAAAACCTTTCAAATGTATCTGTGTTTCAAATAATGTGAAGTTCAAGACTGGTTTCGGAGGAATGAGTCAAAGAAATCCATAGTCATAGGAAGATTCCTTGTGCTAGACCTCTAGATCTGCTTGTGGTCATCCTGCCTTAACTTGTGTGTGTGTGTGTGTGTGTGTGTGTGTGTGTGTGTTGCTGGGAGATCTAACCTCAGGCCTCACCAGGCTAAGCACGAGCTCTACTACTGAGGTATACCCCAGCCCTAATATTTTTATGAGTCAATAAAAATAACAGAAACAAACAACAGCCTCAAGATGATCAAGTTTGATACATGACTTACCTATGATGCAAATGTAAGTAAGTCATAGTTATGTAGTGGCTTTTCTTCTTTCTTTTTTTTTTTTTTTTTTTTCAGACTTCCAGAAAAGTATGAGAGAGAGAGAGAGAGAGAGAGAGGGAGAGAGAGGGAGAGAGAGAGAATCTTTCAAAATAATTACTTTTGTGATATAATGTTTTGTGGAAATAATAGTAACTATCCACAACTTCAGCTGTGACAAACTCATTAGATTCTGCTACTGATATATCTCCTAGATGGGTGGGAGAGAACAGTTGGGTAGAGTTACAGTTCCCAATTATACCAATTAATTGAAGATGTTTTGTTAAACAGAAGGTTGGACTGGAAAGATGGTTTAGTGGTTCTTCCAGAGGACCAGGGTTCAGTTCCCAGCACCCACATGGCACTAACTCTAGTTCTAGGGAATATGACACCCTCTTCTGACCTCCATAGGCATTGCATGCATGGGCACACTTACATATATGCAGGTGAAACACACACATAAAAATAAATGAATAAATGAATGAATAAATAAACTGTAAAGGCAACTCTGGCAAGATACTCTGAGATAACGCAGGTCAGATTAAGCAGCAAGGCTTTTTCTGGGATTCATAGTTTAGAAGGAATTCTTAAACCTCTTAGAGATAGTATTTCCTGATATATGAGGTAATTTCTGGAAGGCCATTTTACAATCAGTCCTTATTAACATTTCAGCCTATAATGAAGTAGAGCATCCAAACTGGATAGTTCCTATTGTTGGTGTATATAGTAGAATACAATGGTAATCTAAAGAGAGACATTCTTTTAAACAGCTCCTTGGAAATAGATCCTTGCTTATTCTTTGAGGCCCGCTTCCATAGGACATTGCAACATCACATTTAGTTGGTCATTTAATATACAAGAAATGGTAATGCTGCATTAGAATATGTGCAGTAGCAGAATGTTAGCCATAGGAACCCAGATTTCAGGGGTGACTTAATTCTGGATTTATATCTTTCTAATATTTCTGCCCCAGCTTTCATGCCCAGCTGTTTTGAACAGGAAGCAAAAACAAACTTACATAGATTCCTATACCTACCCACTTAACCTGAATTTCTGCTTACAGAATCTTCCTGTTCTTTCATTACTCTGTGTTCTCATCAAAGATCAACCCTGTCCTGGTACACTAAAGCCCACCTCCTTTACCTTCTTGCTTATTGCTATACAGTTCTCTAATATTTCTTCTACTTATCAGTTTCTTTTTAATTGTATCTTTTATGTTGGAAAATAGGTGGGGTTCTTTTTCTTGATCTTTTGGCACCATTTTCCCATATAATTTGGCATCCTTTCCTCCCTGTTTTCTGTTTACCCATCCCCATGCAGCACACCTTCCTGTGGACTCAGTATCTTTAGTTATCCATTTTGGAATCCCCACTACCCCTTTACCTGCATCTTCAAGCTTCCTTATCCCTCCCTCACTTTCCTTTCTCTTCCTGTGGCTACTCTAAGTTTAAAACTATGCATCTTGGGGCTGGAGAGGTGACTCAGTTAAGAACACTGTTCTTGCAGAAGACCTGGGTTCAAATCCCAGCACCCACATGGCAGCTAACAACTGTCCATAACCCCAGGTCCAGGGGATCTGCAGCCTCTCCTGTCCTCTGTGGGCATTACATGACATGGGTGCACTTACCTACATGCAGGCAATAGACACATACACATAAACATAATAAAATAAAACTCTGCATCTTTAACTTCATATAATCTAAGACATATTCTTAAAGTATATATATCTTCATTTGTCCCTTACCATACTTTGGACTATTGTCTTTCTTACTACTTCTTAGGTATGTGATACATCTTACAGTTTGTTGTTACCACCTTTGTTTTAATAAAAATTTTTTGGTCTTTTTGAGACAGGGTCTTCCTGTAGCCCCAGCTGTCCTGGAACTCACTATGTAGGCCAGGCTGGCCTTGAACTCACAGAGATCTGCCTGCCTCTGCCTCCCGGGTTCCAGGACTAAAGGTGTGCGCCACCACACCCGGCTTGTTTTAATTTTAAAACGAGAAAACTAACAGTTATGTTTACTTCATATTTGCTACTACTGATATTCTTCTTTTTTTTTCCCCTTCTGTAGCCCCAGTAGGCCTGGAACTCACTATGTAGATTAGGCTGGCCTTGATCTCACAGAGTTCTGCCTCACGAGTGCTGGGATTTAAAGCATGTGTCACCACACCAGCTCTACTGATATTCTTCATCTTTTATTCATATTCACGTTTCTGTTACCACTTTTTTCTACTTGAAGAATTTCCATTAGCATTCCTTTTTTATATATTTTTATTTTATACATATGGGTATTTTACCTGAATGTAAGTGTGTCATGTGCATACAATGCTTGCAGAGGCCCGAAGAGGTCATTGGATTCCCTGGAACTGGACTGACGTTACCGATGGTTGTTAGTCACCATGTGGGTGCTGGAAACCAAACCTGGGTCCTCTATAAGAGCAGCCAGTGCCCTTAACCACTTAGCCATTTCTCAAGTTCCCCATTATCCTTTCTGTTAATACCTGTCTGTTGGTAATGAATAGTCCCAGCTTTAGAAGAAAAAAAAAAAAAAAAGCAAACTTTTTTTAACCTTTATTTTTGAAAGATATTTCACTGGGTATAGAAATTTAAGTTGATAGTTGAGTCCTGGATTTTGTTCTATTTCATCTTCATACTACTTAATTTACTTGTGCATTTGTTTAATCCTTTGGAGGCTTATTTTCAGTCTATTTTGAGTAGCACCTAAATAGCATTAACTCTAGGTTACTTTAGCTTCCCTACCAACACAACAACCTTTTGGGAAAGATATTTCACTGGGTATAGAAATTTAAGTTGATAGTTGAGTCCTGGATTTTGTTCTATTTCATCTTCATACTACTTAATTTACTTGTGCATTTGTTTAATCCTTTGGAGGCTTATTTTCAGTCTATTTTGAGTAGCACCTAAATAGCATTAACTCTAGGTTACTTTAGCTTCCCTACCAACACAACAACCTTTTGGGGTATTTGCTGAAAGCCTCACATATTATGTAAGCATCCTTGGCAATTTAAATGCTTCTCAACTCTATTTAATCTTAGGGACTGGTTTAACTTACAGCTTTCTGGCAATTGTTATTTCTCTGAAAGTCATTTCCAATAGGGTTTCACTGTATCTTTCTGGGATCTTCCAGATACTTCTCCATATTCAGTACTCTGACATGTAAAGTCTAGGTTCTGCGCTTCCTGTTAACTCTAATGTCTATCCATTCATTTCAGTCAGCTATTTGTTTTTTTGCCACAGTCCAGAAATTACCTTCAACTGGAAACCAGTAGTCCCTACTGGACCTCTTTCTGTTTGATCAGGGTCATAGGTAACAGTGCTCTAACAATCTGTTCTAAAAATGGATAATTTATGACTATTTGTAATGTTTCAAGTTGCTATCAAAATTTAATATAGGGGTATGTCTGCTAGTAAAACAGAGGAAATAGGAGGGAAACCAAGTTTGGGAACTTCAAAGTGTGTTTTTTTTTAAGCTTCAATATATTTAGTTACAAAAAGTTATTATAGTATTAATACACTTATTTCCATTTCAAAGTCTCAAAAAGGGAAGGGAATATACTAATATTTTCCTTTATTTTCTGACATCAGACAGGCAGTAGAACTAGTGAAGATGAGATTTACTAAGGAGATTTCAGTATGTCTCTTCAAAGTAGCTGAGTTTATATAGAATGAGGTAATTCTAGCTTATGCTTCAATGCAAAAAGATGAAAGATGAGAAAGAGAAAGAGGTCACAGAAATGACTTTAAAATTGTTTTAAGTGGAAATGTAAAAAAAAAAAAAGAAGAAATTCAGACCTCAAATACAAGTAGAAATGTAAGCAGCAGAGGAATTCTGTGTCAGGTGAAATGAATCTAATCTATATTACTGGCTTTCTGTGTTGAATAAAACAGAAATGGGGTAAGGCATCTACTTACCAAAACTACATCTCCAAGCCCTGGGCTTTTTTTTTTTTTGAAGTCGCTAATCAGTGTAACTTTTAAGTCCTAATGTGAGCCGGATGCTAAGGAACAACTTCTTGCCTTCTTTAATGATGCAATATGACCAAACAAATCTAGCATATTAATTGTACACAAAATGTCATCAGAGAAAATTAAAAAAAAACTTGAATTCTTAATTTTCTCAGAAACTGATAATGATACTTTTGCTTCCATTTATCAAATCCTTTAAAATATAAGTAAACGGTGAACTTCAGATTGCTTATACAGAGTACGAATTCAGAATTAAAGTCAGTACTTTGCACTAGACTTTAATAATATCCTTAAATAGTCCCATATATATGGAACTTGCTCATAACTTATTTTAGCTTGTGATTTATCAGGGTTTCGTTGTTGTTGTTGTCATTTTGGCAATGAAGGCTTGTTTTTGTCCTAGACAGAAAAACAGCACTCATTTAAGTTTTGTTTTTTAATTTTAGAAATAAAAAAGAAGACATGCCTCATTCAACAAACAAAGAATTGATACTTGGTCTCATGGTAGGAACTGCTGGAATCAGCTTGCTGGTTTTATGGTACCACAGGGTACGCAGACCAAGGGCAACAGTGACTTTTCCTAAATTTCTTTCTCTGGGTAAGACATTCAATTCAACTACCTTGCAAGATGAAATGCATGACCAGGGGACAGCAATGGTCTTTCAAAGAAGGCAGCTTCAGATACTGGAGAAGTTGAATGAATTACTGACAAACATGGAAGAACTCAAGGAGGAAGTCAAATTTCTTAAAGAAACGATTCCAAAGCTGGAGGAATATATACAAGATGAACTTGGAGGGAAGGTAACCGTTCATAAGATAAGTCCTCAGCACAGAGCTAGAAAAAGAAAGCTGACAGCAGTTCAAAGTTCAGCCACAAGTAATAGTTCAGAGGAGGCAGAAAGTGAAGGAGGGTAAGTAGCCTTCCATATTTCCCAGGTTGAAATGATTATCTATTGCATCACTACTATTACATGGATAGCTATTTAAGGCATATATTCTGCTACTAAACGGAAATGAAAAGCAATGGTTATTTTACCTTAGATTTTAAATATTAAAAAACATTGAATATTGTCAGTGTTTTAGATTGTTTAGATCACATTGACAAAGGTATATAAATAACTAGCCGTAAGAGACATCATCTAAGTACTGGGGAAGGCAGTCATTGTCAGAATAGATAACCTATTTTGTAATCTGGTTATCAGGTGATCTTTTATCCAACAACTCCCTAGACCAGTTCAGTCCAATAGAGAACTTCCTGTGATGATGGAACTTGGCTGTAGCTGTGCTGCAAGTATGGTAGCTACTAACCACATGAAACTCTTGAGCACTTAAAATATGGACTTGTGAAACTGAGGAACTGAACTTTTAGTTTTATCTCATTGTAATTATAATTTTTAAATTGTAATTAGATTTACTACTTGGGACTAGTAGCCACTGAATTTATATAAGCAATTCAGTTTTGTGGGTAAGTCTACCAGATCCTAACACTGAGAACATATATTGTATTCCTTGGGTAGGGAAACAAATAATTTATGAATTTAAAAAATAGATTCTGTGTAGTGATTTTAAAGAATAAAATGCCCATGTGATTTGTAGTTTGTTTTTAATTTTTTGGTTTGTTTTTTAAGGGAGACTTAGTGATATTCTTGAGGATGAAGACTCTTACTGCATTCCTGAAATCTCTGTGCCTAAGATATAGAAATGTATTTAACATGTCTTTTTAAGTAAATGTCTAGAAACTAGCATTTGAATAAAAAAATTTTTATAAATAAGGTCTTTGTGAAGTTTATTTTAGGTTCTGATAAGATGGAGAAGGCCAACCACAGTGAGATGTAATCATAACAACTTTACACATTTGAGGTGGAATATATTCCTTATCCAGAATGTCCCTGGTGGCCAAATTAAAACATTGATGGCAATTACAGATTCCACTTGTAAAATCTGACTTTGTGAGAAATACTTAGAGAGTTCTGCTTTTTTTTTTTTTAAGCAAAGTAGACACCAGTCACAGTTTGCTAATGCTATTTCCTCTCCTTTATACAAGAAAGGAAAAATATATGCTTAGCCCTTGTCAAAAACTTAAAAGTTAAGACTCAGGAAATTTGATCGTGGCAAAGATTGGGGGAAGATGTTTTGTAGCCGTTACCAGACTCTCTTGTGTGTTCTCTTAGTACACAAGTATAACTACTGCCATATGGGTTTATGCCTCCCTTAGTTTCGGCTGATTCCCTGGCTTGAATCGGGCAATTGTGGTGACTGACACTTAGTTCTTGTAACATGCCTTCAGCAGGCCAGTGAAGTTGTTTGTGTATCATTTTTTATACTAACCCTAGCATCTTAGAAGACATCTTTGCTTCTTGATAATGTTGTGTTTTGACTAAACCTTCTTTTGTCCCTGCGCCAAGACGGAATCAGCTCCTGCCTTGGCAGAGTTAGTTCCTTTCAGTGAAAATAATATTAGACAAAGATCTGGGTATAGAGAGGTACTGTTTTTAGGCAACATGATATCATAAGGTTGTTTTAGTGTTTTGCTAGACTTCAAACTATTTTTAATAATCTTTTTGAGGTCATTAATTCACACTAATATTTTTGGTTTTAAATCATTTTGGGGGTTTTTTGTTTTGTTTTGTTTTGTTTTTATTTATCTTTTTGAAGTAGGGTCTCTCTGTAAGCCCCAGCTGTCCTGGAACTCACTATGTAGACCAGGCTGGCCTTGAACTCACAGAGATCTGCCTGCCTCTGCCTCCCAAGTGCTGGGACTATAGTCATGCGCCACCACACCCAGATAAATCATTATTTTTTAAAATGTTTTCATTCACTGTCTTTTTCCTTAAGCTGTCTACTTCCCTTTCTGGGTCGCAGTGACTTTTATTATTCTGTTACACAAAGGGTTTAAAAACTATTATTTAAATGATAGTTTTATGTGAAACTTTAAATCTTATTCTAGTTTAATAAATCCAACATTCTTCCTTTTTTTGTAAGCTTTAGGAAGAATAGATGTGCTTCAGAATTTAACATGGATTATATAGTAACCATATGAGCCCTGTTCTTTCTTTCTTGACATAGATGTCTTCATTTTAGTGTTAGACTCATATGATTCTTTCAGATGTTATCAACAGAAATGTTATTAACTATTTGAAAAGAAAAAAAGAAACCCCATCAGTCAACCCTCAGGAAAAGAACAGCAAAATACAAGGCCTATGTCTAGAACTTTAGATGGTATTAAATTATAAATAACAGAATGGTAATGAAAGTTAAGCCACAGACTGATCTGAGGGCTTATTTGAAAGACCTTTAGCTTTGATCTTCATGGGCCAATATATAGATCTTTCTTTTTGTTCATTTGTATTTTCACCCTTACCATTATTTACTTTTGTCGAGTCAGTTTGGTGTTGGAATGCAATTCAAGGCTTTGAGAAAAACATTCATATTAATTATATGGAGATTCTGTATTCCTTAAAGTTGTAACCTAAATTTGCAAAATAATGTTTTCAGCTTTTACAAAATGTAACATTGTAATTGAAATCCTTTTTACTCCTGTCTCTAAAGATAGCTTTCCTGCACATGCATATTTCTATAATTTGTTTCTAAAATTTGTATAAATGGTATTATATAATGCATAGTATTTTATAACTGGTTTTGCTTTAGTTACTTTTTCTTTGGGGAGGCTTTTCCATGTTGATGCATGTAAACTTATTTCTTTCTTTTCAAAAGCTATACCACAGTCTCTTGAAGAAATCTGCCTAATTTCCCTTTCAATGAATGTCTAGGTTACAATTTTTTTCTCCTATAAGTAATGCTTTGTTTCCTTTTTTTCATTTTTTATTGAATTTTTCCAAATTTCATACATTATATTTTGATCATATTTAGACACCCCCATCTGCACTCCTCCCTTAAAGGCTCCCCATCCAATTCCATATACTCTATTATTTATATATATGCCCATTGAGTCAAAGTTGTGTCCCCAAATGCCCTTTGGTGTGGATCTTTCTGCCCCTTCTGCCAGAATGATCCCTGAGCCTTGGAAGGCAGAGGTTTGATATAGGAGTTCTATTCAGGGCTAAACACTCTTCAGTCTCTTATTCTTTGCACATTGGTCAGTTGTGGGTCTCTGTGGTAATTACCATTGCTGCCTGCACGAGGAAGCTTCTCTGGTGAAAGTTGAGCAATGCCTTAATCTGTGGGTAAAACAGTAAGTCATTAGGAAGAAAGTTTAATACTATACCTGTTTCGTGGGTTAGGCCATTATGCTTTCCCCTTTGGCCTGTGACCTGCCTAGCCATAAGTGCCTAGGCCTGAGATCAGTTTTATGCATGGGCTCCATTTTGTGAAGCAGACCTTAAATTCAACCAGAGAGTGGTTGGTTACTCCTATAGTATTTGTGCTGCTATTGCACCAGTGGGCTTAGCTTGCCAAGGCAGTTGTTATAGTTCACTGGATTCATAGTTGGGCAAAAGTGATGATTACTTTTCTCTTTCAGCAGTATGCATGGTACCTTCCAGCACTATGAAAGCTAACTAGTAGAAATGAAGCATTGAAGTCAGTACCAGCTTGATTTCTTCTTGTTTGTTCTATAGCTCATGTATGTAGTGTCTTCAGCAATGGGGTCTTACTGTCAAGTTCTGGTGGGTAACCAAAGTAGGGGCAATGGCCAGTGTTGTTTGAGGGTCTATGGAACCCTTAGTCAACAGCTTCTAGAGAGGGGTTTATTGGGGTTTCTTCATAATTGCTCAGGCACATGTGGAAGAATTTCTTTAATGTGTGTATTTGTATATGTGTTCTAATAATCTTTTAAAATATATCCAATTCACAGCACTAGATGAGCATGAGAATTCTTATCTTCCCATATTGATTTGTATAACAGCAGACTTTTTAACTTCAGCCAAACTGCTAAAGATGAAATGTTAACTAATCATTTTCTATTTCCCTAAACATTACTAATAGTGAGTATCTTCTCATAATATATTTGCAAACGGATCTTCTCTTCCATGAATATCTTTAACAAATAGAGAAAAGATATGAACAGTTGAAATCACTGAGTGTTTGTCCTCTTCCAGGCAATGTCTGAACTCTGGAGACACAGCTGAGAACAAAAAAAAGTCTTTTAAATCTAACAGCTTTTCTTAAAAATGTAACAGGATGGTAAAGAAGGGTGCTCTCAGTCATTTCAGCCAGCACCCCAAAGGTGAAAAACAGCACAACAAAATGCCAAGTACTTTAGCATCCTGCAGCCAGATGCTAGAACTTTCTGGCAAGCATGTGCTGGGAGGTTGAAGGCACTGCCAGTGTGAGCACTCACCCACCTGCAGCCAGTGAGAAAAGACTGCTGCAAAGCTGAGAGAAGCATTTCTCCAGGGACAGCTGCTCCTGTGCTGACATCCCACTCGTAAGTGCACAAACCCCAGATTTTGTGGGAATGCATGTTGATGCTCAAGGAGAACGTGTAGTGTGGGACGAGAAGGAGGTGGTATGTGTGGCCTTCTGGAACCAGCACGACAGGAGTGGATGGAGGCTAATGAGTCTGGAAAAGAAGCCTGAGAACTGGTCAAACAAGTGGAAAAAAACCCCAGACAAACAGCAAAACAACTGGAGAGCAGTGTCACAGAAGCCTAGGAGGAGCAAGGTTTCAAGAACAGCAATGGAAGCAGAAATGTTTATCATTCAGACACAGTATGAACCCTGACTCAGCTGTTACCTAACTGTGTAACATCAGTTCTCCAAACCTGAATTCTTTTCTTATCTTAAAATGTGGGTGAGGTCATTGAGATGGCTCAGTGGTTAAAAGTGATTGCCATGCCAGCCTGACAATCTGTGTTCAATCCCCAGAACCCATGGTGGAAGGAGAGAACCAGCTGCCAAAAGTTGTCCTCTGACTTCCACATGCACCTACCTATGTGCACACACACTCCCC